AAAAAAAGCCCTCACTCTTCACTCTTCAGGGTTTTTCTGGAAACCTTACTAGGAAGAATGTGCCAGGGTCAAGTCTTTACTGATTTTCATGGTGAATAGATTACATGCTTGCATTCATGTTCACTTCCGAAGCGCTTAGTGTCTTCCTTCCCTTACTTACATATTAACCTCAAATACCCTGCGCGGCTTCAGCCAAGCTTTACTGGAGGTAGTTAACAATGTCGGGTCCTCAGGACGCAGGTTTCCCCTCCTCACCCCCTCCAAATCGTCCCTTGCCTCATTCGCAACGCCAGAAAGCCAGCAAGCCCTTTAAAGTGCAGACCACGGAGCTAAAGACTGTTTGCTGATCTCTCCGCTTCAACTCTGCAGCTAAATGCTTGGAAAACCAGTGGATATTGGGCTACCCCAGCTTGAGAAATACTCCGAGTTTGATTGCCAGAAGCCTAGTTAAAATTATTTGACATACTGTTAACCCGTAGGAACAAACTCGCCGTACAGAGATACTTTCCTTTTAGCTTTGTGTCGTCGCTGAAGGCTGAGACCCAGAGAGACCTATTTTAAAAACCTGGTTAAACTTTTACTATTGTTGCATGAAAGGGATGATATAGAAAGCGGATTGCACAGGGCAGAGACTAAAAAGTACTTTTCTTCCAATAAAAATGCACACCCCACCGAATGAGCAGAGCCAAAGAAAACAGAGAAATATGCCAAAGAATACAGCACCTTTTGAGGCACGGACATCCCTAAGCTCTCGGAAAAAGTTTTTTTTTTTTTTTCTTTTTTTTTTCTATTCTGATGCTCTATTTCAGAAAAGAAATATTTGAGTTCCGGCTGGATTTCATCAAAATAGAAAAACAGAATGGCAAAAGGCTATTGTGAAGTCAGTACTCTTAGGAAATTAGATGTAGTTCAAGATCCATGCCCCCGTGGACTTGGGAGGCTAGTGGAAGGGAAACGAAAATGTTAGGGAAATAATATTTGGATTTCCCCCCCCCCTTTCCTCTGCAATGCTGGTAGAAGTATTTATATATCCGGAGAAAGTTCTCTAGTAAATTCTGGAGATCCTCGGTATTTAAATGTCAACATCGATTTGTTTATTTATTGCTTAGCTTATCGTAACTGACTCAATAACAAATCTAATCATGTTATGCAGAGAGAAAATATTCTCATTATGTATTTCCCCTACATTATAGTTAACTATTGCGTTTGAATTCAAGCTGTAAATTCAATATTATCAAGTAATTACTTTGTAGTGGAGTAAACTAATTTATTAGCATTAATGTTTATATGCCTTTTTCTTATTTTACAAGGGTTACCGTTCACAAATCAAATGCTCTGGACGTATCCCTGTAATGAACTCTTTATTTTGGTTTGCTGCAAGAACTTCTTAGGCTTACTGCGCGTCTGTGAGCTGAACTTGAAATTAATGAATTAATCTTCCAGCTTGACATATTTGCTAGAAAGTGGATGGAAAGAGATTGCATGTCGTCAAAACCGCTAGCAGAAGACTGCAATGTCGTTTAGGGATTGTAAAAAAGGTTTGGGGGCTTTCCCTCTCTCTCTTTTTTTTTTTTTTTTTTTTAAACTTGAGTTGGGGAGGGGTGTGCAAGAGCTCTGGTTGGCTTTTTCCTTAAAGCTGTGATTTTGCTCGCATTTACTTTCCCCCTAGATTTTGCCGGGGGTGGTCGTGGTGGGGTGGTGGGTGGAGTGGACTGGGGGGTCGGAAGCCCTCTTTTGGGTGTCCGAATATTGGTTATTTTCCCTGTGTACCCGCACCGTTCAATTCCGTCGATGAAAACCTCTCCCCACACCCTGCACGCTCTCAGACACTCCTCCCTTCGAACAAAAAGGAATGTATAAGGATTTCAGTGACTTTGAGATAACAAAGGCGCCACCATTGCTGAGCCTCGCCCCGCCTCTGTGTGATGGCAAACAAATTCTTGCACTTGTATTAGGGCTTTTAAGGCTATAATTGAACACGGCGCGTCTAGGGGAACCGAAAACAGTTCTAGACTGACCTGCGGTTTTATAGCACTTTGGCAGTCAACTTCAGCTTGTGTCAGGGCAGACATGACAGAGCTGCCCAACACTTAATCGCGGGACGCCACCTCCTCGGACTCACTGCAGCGGCCCTCTTGCATTTCAATAAATTTCAAACCTTGGGGCTAGAAATGGGGAGCAGAGCTGGCACAGGTTTGTATAGGGCTCTTTGCCGCTCCTCTCTGCAGCGGGGGCAGCGGCGCCGTGCGAGGCTCCGCCGTGCCAGAGGTCGGGGCTGCCTCTGGGAAACAAAGGGAAATTAAGGCAAGAAGGGCGAGAAGGCAACTGGAAATAGGAGTGTGTGTGCGTGGGTGTGCGTGTGTGTCTGGGCATATACGTGCTTGCATAGCATGCACACGTGCAGCCCCGATGCCTGCTTTTGAATCGCTCGAGCTCTCTCCCCCACCTCTCCAAACCAAGCAGCCTATTTCTTTTCAAGCTGGTTTTTAGCGCGAGGGGACCCCAAAATGCCTCCGGGTGCCGCCTGCACAACAAGCGGGAAGGACGATGGGGAAAACCGAGGGGGGCACAGCTCGTCTGGGAGCGAGTAGACACCCAAGGCACAGGCTGTTCTTTGCTTTATTTGCTGTTAAGTGAAACAAGAGATAATGTACGCTTAAAGTCCCGGAATGTGTGGGTAATTGCAGGGAGCCTGCTGTTAAGTTGCTGTGTTCAGCACAATTATCAATGTTGATTATTTGGTCTAATGTTGAATTGCTCTTTTAATACAGTAATTGGGACTTCCGCGTTGAGGAAGGGGGAAAACCGAGCCTTCCCCTCGCTAACCTCACTGAGAACAACATAAACAAAGGCAGGCATTTCGTTTGGAGAAGCAAAATGAATTCGTTACGCCTTCCCATGTATTTCGACCGGATTAGAGAGGGTAAAACCGCTCTGAATTTGGAACCTCTGCTGCAGGACGGTTTTGCAAAGGAGAAGCGTGGCCAAGAGGTGGGGAGACTGTTACCCATAGCTAAGCTAAACAAAGGGAGGAGAAAAAAGCTACATCTCTCTTTGGAGGAATATAAACAGAACTAGGACGCCTCGATAGTCTAGCTTTTACATATACAGATGGTGTGCAAAGGGAACTGTTTAACTCACTACTGCTTCTCCAAAAGGTCAAGTTCTATTGTATCTAAATTGTTGTCGTTTTGTACCGGGCTTTGCTTGAAAAATATTTGAAGCTGACCATTTACCTTGCCAGTAGGGTGGGTGCCTCTAATTAACAGGAGGAACGTGTGCTAGAAGGAATTTGCGTCAAGATGAGCTAATTAAAATATTACAGGATCGCTGGCTTCAATCTCTGCTGATTCTCTCGCACAGGGAGGGTGAGGGGTATTACGACTCGAGCAGGAGAAAATATCTAAGGAATTAGGACAGTATTTTGTAAAACTGAGGGTTGATTACAGTCTACAAAGGCTTATTAGAAAAGCATAGCATTAGAGAGTTCGAGATGTTGCTGCCAACGAAAAGCGCACCGTCTTCTCACCTTTACCAATGCAAATAGGGGCACAAGGCGATAATTCGTCGCAAAATTTGCCAGGAATGCAGCTTCAGAAAAACCTGCTGATTATTTGGATTTTAAATATCTCGGGCCCAGAAGTTATTAAAAAGCATTTATTTTCTGTTTGACTTTTTGTCTATTACGGAAAGAAGTTATACGTGTACTTTTTTTTTTTACTTTATTTTTTAAACTAAATGTATTTGCGTAAGAATGCAATAGAATGAAGTGCTACTATAGCTAGCTAAATAATTTAAATAATAGGTGAATTTTTATATATGTTTGTATATGTGTATATATCGGTGAGATGGAAGCCCCGTGCTGTGACATGGGACAGTCTATTTTCCAAAACGTGAGGCGGTGTGGTTGTGATTTTGCTAGGAAACTGCAGTATACGTGTAAAGAGAACAAGCAGATGTAAACAGGATTCAATGTAATTCTGACATTTTTCCTTATATGACATTATTTCAGAGGCTTGAACACCTCAAAAGGCTGCACTCATCTGGGCTAGAATACTTCAGATTAATTTTTAGTATCAGTTAGCAAAATCCTTTACTTTCTTCCGTCACCCTCTGTGTCTTTTTAAGTTGCTGAAATGAAGAGGGTGACTGTTTTTTTTCTACCGAGCCCCTCGTCTAGTTTGAATTTTAGGATTAAACGACTACGGACCTACAGAGACAAACTCATCGTTGGCGACCAATCATGATATTTTGCATCCCTTTGAGCTGAAGAACATCTGAAGACTCTCTGACTCTGATAGCCGCAAGTAGCCGAAATATTGCGGGCTTTTTTTTTTTTTTTTTTTTCCCCCCCAGGAGAGGAACCTACTTCTAGATAGAAAACTTCATGTTTCGGCAGCTATT